AAATTTCCTTTCATTCGTCGGCTAATCAACCGACTAGCTCATTCAATCACCGGATACCTTTTCCCCGCTTTCGTGAGGGAATCACTCTAACTACCCTACTCCATCATTGTTGCTCTACTCTTCCGGCATTAACGCGCCTAGCGACGAAATAGAAATCCCAAAGAATTTCGCGCGATCGTGCGAAAGAAAAGTTCTGGTCTTGTTTAATTAGGTATCTAAAAGTAGAGGGAAAACGCGAAGAAGGGGGAACATTATCTGGGAACCAGGTGATCACGATAGTATACTGCGTGAAAGGATGAGCGTCGATGCTTAGGTAGATTCAACCAACATATTTAGGTTAACGGCTACTCTCTTTCCTCCTTTCCTTCCTCTTTTCTTCAAGTTTGATCTTAACTACAATAGCTACGGCAGCATTGCTAGGTCAGGGACGCGTGTACTACGTTCAGTACACGTGGAACCGATGTGGAGTATCCAGGGATTACTTTTTAGATGTTACTTTCTTAGATGTAAAATTGCTTTAGGAAAAATGAATTATATACGAGGCTCATGCAGATTCTTTGCCTCTTTTTAATCTCTTCTTTTCCTTTCTTTCGGGATCGATAACATCTTACTCCTCATCAGTTCGGTAGGTCGGGTACATACGTATGGTTTGCATATCTCTTTCACCTTAACTGGTCTTCCGTATGATTTCACTTTCTTGCATTTCACTGATAAATCTTATCTCGGCGCTGTCTTCGAAATTCATCAAATACACGCATATTGCATGATAAATTACATAAATAACAATAATAATAATAATAAAGAAAATAATTCTCAAAACAATTACCCGCGTGTAGCATGTAATGAAATAATAATTTCTCCTGCTTTCAAAACCATCACGCAAAAAAGAAAGATTAACAGTAGATATGCCTCAGTAAGCAAAAAGGCAAATAGATGGGCTTCGGTTAACCGTGAACGAAATTCTCGTCGTTCCAGAAAGCATTCCGAAATATAAAATACCGTCTTATTACCTATACCGTAATCTATTATAATTAAGCATACATCTTCGTGAATACCATGGAATAAATATTTCGTAATAATAACCGCGTCGAATCGTTGAGAAATTATTTTCACGTTCGAATCGTTATAAGTGAAGATTAATGAAAAAGCAAGTATCAGCAGTCACATGTCGTATGGTCATAAAACAAGTAGAGTTATTGGGTAATAAATAGTTGATCTACTCATTTGACAATGACGTGCCTTAATAATTTTGAAAAAAGACTAGTGAATTATAATGAATTACTTAAATTTATTAAAATATGACAACAGAATTTGTTTTCTAATAATGGATCGTTTTCAAGAAACGAGAAATAATCGAAGTGTAATAATTTTATTTATGTTATTTGGTTTCTCAGATTCGTGTTAAGAGTTCACCTTAGCGGTGCTTCGAACATTCCATGACCGATTTATAGTTATTTCAATCCAATCGAATAAGTGATGACTTTGATACAGTGAGGTTCTGCCAATCTGCTTTATGGTCGTTAAGTACATATTGCTATCCTTGCTGTGCTGAAACTTTATCTAATTTTGATTTAAAGAATGACGTGAAATTCATGTGCCAGATTATTCTTCCGACGTCTGATTTCTTTTTAATTATAGGAAATGCGTTTTTCTAAGGTACATAAACTTTTGGGATTGACTGTATAGCCAATACATCCTTAATAGCGAGATGGCCTTAGCCCTTAGCTACTAACAAGTGAATGGATGAGTCAGACTCTGTTCTTAATAACTGAATGAGNGCATGATAAATTACATAAATAACAATAATAATAATAATAAAGAAAATAATTCTCAAAACAATTACCCGCGTGTAGCATGTAATGAAATAATAATTTCTCCTGCTTTCAAAACCATCACGCAAAAAAGAAAGATTAACAGTAGATATGCCTCAGTAAGCAAAAAGGCAAATAGATGGGCTTCGGTTAACCGTGAACGAAATTCTCGTCGTTCCAGAAAGCATTCCGAAATATAAAATACCGTCTTATTACCTATACCGTAATCTATTATAATTAAGCATACATCTTCGTGAATACCATGGAATAAATATTTCGTAATAATAACCGCGTCGAATCGTTGAGAAATTATTTTCACGTTCGAATCGTTATAAGTGAAGATTAATGAAAAAGCAAGTATCAGCAGTCACATGTCGTATGGTCATAAAACAAGTAGAGTTATTGGGTAATAAATAGTTGATCTACTCATTTGACAATGACGTGCCTTAATAATTTTGAAAAAAGACTAGTGAATTATAATGAATTACTTAAATTTATTAAAATATGACAACAGAATTTGTTTTCTAATAATGGATCGTTTTCAAGAAACGAGAAATAATCGAAGTGTAATAATTTTATTTATGTTATTTGGTTTCTCAGATTCGTGTTAAGAGTTCACCTTAGCGGTGCTTCGAACATTCCATGACCGATTTATAGTTATTTCAATCCAATCGAATAAGTGATGACTTTGATACAGTGAGGTTCTGCCAATCTGCTTTATGGTCGTTAAGTACATATTGCTATCCTTGCTGTGCTGAAACTTTATCTAATTTTGATTTAAAGAATGACGTGAAATTCATGTGCCAGATTATTCTTCCGACGTCTGATTTCTTTTTAATTATAGGAAATGCGTTTTTCTAAGGTACATAAACTTTTGGGATTGACTGTATAGCCAATACATCCTTAATAGCGAGATGGCCTTAGCCCTTAGCTACTAACAAGTGAATGGATGAGTCAGACTCTGTTCTTAATAACTGAATGAGTGAGTCAATCTTCAAACGAATTTAAGTTCTGAAACAGGGCCTCGGCATGTAATGACTAACGTATTTAACAAATACCATTTACAATTAACAGTATTATTAATCAATGTCTCCGACATATTTCTTTTTTTATACTGTCACTTCAACGCACAGTTACGAATAATCGATTAAAATTTTTTATTAGTTTAATTCATAATTCTTAATTCGACTAGTTTGAATTAAAGATCTCACTCGTTAGAAGTTTAACTTCCAATTAATGTCTCATCGAATATAACATCGAATTCCATATTTAACATGATCATTACATAAGCATAATGTCATCGTGATTTTTTTGAACCAATAACATGATATCGTGCTACTAAAAGAAGACACGGTTCTGTAATTAATTTAATATCCTCAAGCCGGAGTAGCCGTCGCCCTTGACACCGGAGTTTCGCTAAATGAACACAGACAATGCGCTTCTTCAACTCCTCCTTGCAAAAGTTTTCTCCTATAGGGGCGCGTTGTGTTATAAATTAAAGACTTCCGTCGTTCTGCACGGTTCTCGGAAAGGGTATGGCATGAACGAAACGGTAGGGGCGAACGTCCCGTTTGTTCATTGAAGGAGAATTCAGGGAACCGATAACTCAGATAAATTTAATTGCCCTTTAATTAATCGTGCGGGCGGTAATGAAGAAAAAGATGGCGTTATTTCAATGGAACGAAAGTGAATTTATGAATCGAGTGTTGTACGGTCTTGGCGATGGAATGTACAAGTACTAGGACACGTACAAACTTGAAAAATCATTGAGAAACGATACAAATCTTTATGAATTATAATTAAGTTTTTTACTTTCGTCTATGAGACATTAATACATTCTATGTTTTAACAAAAACTCTCATCAATTTCATATAATAAACAGACCACCGCTTCGCAATCTCAAAGTTGTATTACTTAAATAAAAATAAAAAAATAAGCCCAACACAAACGAAGTACATGTAGATATGTGTACATGTAGAACGGCGATATCGTTTACAATTTCCAAACACGGGATTAAAATTAACAGAGCTTAAATAATAAAGTTACGTGCAGGCTGTGTTCGCTTATACGTAGAATGCAGTTCATAAAGGGGAGAAAAAACGAAGACCGGTTTGTCTAGGGAGTAAAATTACCTTATGACTTTCACGCGAATTTATCATGAGCGTATTTCAACGAGAACACCGCTATTCGTGATCAATTAGAACGTATTTTATTATGACTCATTAACTTAAACAATTTCGTTTACCATTTCTTTTTTTATTGAATTAAAAGTTTTCATTGAAGGTCGTAATAATTTAATGGTTTCTTTCAAATGATTCTGGCCTACATAATTGTTCGACTTCCGTGTTTACCCCGCGCGTTGGATCACGCAAAGAAAACTCCTGAGAATTTTCCTTGTCATTGTAAAAGGCTACCGGAAACCAGTGACATTAGTTAATGTGTCATTTTTTTCAGATTTTTCAAATACAGTCGATAATGATCTGATTAGTTTGATGCATTTATAATAATACTACGAATATAATTTAATTTGTTACATTACAATATTTTTGTATCTTTTCTAGGTCCTTATTATATGATATTTTGTTGTTCATTTCATACTATTTCAAGTAATTCTTATAATTGGTGCAGCTGTCCCATTAAAGCTCTCATTTAGGTGTTTACTCTAATATGTTTCAATTAACTCGAACCGCTGTTTCTGGTTCCCAGGAAGCTGACTTTATAATAAAACTGCGATCTTATACTTCAATTTCAAAATTGTCATTTTTATTTATTTAGTTTTTTCCTGTCAGCGTTACCGAATTATTGAAAGCTATTTTTCACGCTGTATCTATGAAGTTATTTAAATCCCGTTACCCCTTCCTCTGTGTAAACACACGCAACAACTACGTTTCCCAATCCCGACGGTTAACAGTTAACGCCTTTCGATCGCGATAAACGCGGTTTTGCATAGAAAGAGAAGCTGGCCGCGTGCGATGAAAGGATCAGAAAAATGCGGTGCGTCCGAGAATCGTCACGGGATGTGGTTAGGGCGATTTGAGTCACGACATGGTCATAGGAAGTAGGATGGTCGCCGGAAACTCTCCCCCGAAACAAACGCAAACTCATACTCACTTAATGCAAGTATAAACATGTATGTACGTATATGGTGGGGCCTCTACTCTAAAGACACTGTTCGTTTGCACTCTCCCGTTTCCTACGCTCTCTGTCCGGTGAAAAGAGCATAACAGTTTACAAGTGGCAGCCAGCACTTAACCACGCTGCAGAGCGGGACAAGAAACGCGTGTGTGATACCGCCGCGTCGATCGTGGATTAAACTGGAGCACCGCGAGTTTCATCTTGTCTGATCGTGATCATTTTGTCCAGAACGCTACGAATTCTTCGTCTTATCATCGTTACAATTGTTGCTTGAATATATGAAATTGTGATATAGTTTTCGACAATACCGCAATTTGTAAGTGTTTGAAGAGGACGTGACTGAACTGAGGCATCGTCGACATTCAAATTTGAAAAGAGTTTGAGCTAGGACTTATTAATGTTCTAATCGTCGACGATTTTTAAATGTTTGAAAATCAACTGATCATCTTTACGAAACGTCAGAGAGAATCGATTGAAAACGAAAGGATTCCGTGCTGCGGAGGCGGTACAAACTAATCTGCATAACATATCCTTATGGATGAATCAGATAGATTAGTAGAAATTGAAGATATTTCGTACGAAATCAATTTTTCACAGAGCAGAACCGGTGAAAGTTGCAAACGCAAACTCCCGAAGCCGCGTAATTGGTCTCTTGTATTCTATGTTCGGCATTACGCCGTGCATTTCATACGGTTTCTCACGTACTCTTGAAGAACGAAATTTCTGCCGACCAAAAATGAACCGGAATCGAATTTCTCACGAGCTTCGCTTCACAACTGTACAATAATTTAATCGGCACTAATTGGACGTTTGATCGTTATTTCACGTTCGCGATTTTCTCGACGACGTTCGAAAACTGTTGAATCGCATCATTTAAGGAAATGTAATGGTAATATTCGTCGCTAATGCTGATGAACACAGAGGACACGAAAACAGAGGGAATAAAAAGGGAAGTCAGTTCTTGCAAACATCGACAGAAGTCCCTTTTTCGTGATACTGTCTCATGGTATCCTGCGGGAAAAGAAGTAACGAAAGGAAAGTGATACGGGACTTCTATTTGCCGACATTGCGGTCGCGTTTCACCTGTTAATCCCAGTTGCTACAGACCATAGTGTTTTCAGCCATGTGTCAGCCATACAGTATCAGAGCAATTTATGTAAGATAAGATGAATCGTGATTAAGACTGCTATTAAGTTGTATCCCGTTTACTACACATACTGCAGAATGAATGAACTGTTTGAAGATTTAATACAACGATTTTTGTAGTCCGAATCTGAAAAATCGTTTATTTCCTCCTGCTCTACATAATTTTCAATCAGTCCGTTATATTTCACTCTCAATTTCTTCATACATCAATTACTACCATCAAGAAATCATTCAACTCGACCATCATTCAGCTTCCGCGGAAGGCATTTCATCATCTCAATGAGAGAAGAATTGTTCCTGGAATAACCCGTAAAAGCGACTAGTCAGTAGATACTCTTCCAGATACCGGCGATCGTCTACGTATACATGGAATCCTCTGTTTTCGATCTGAAACCACTCCATTGACTCGTCCTACGTTTCAACTTTTCCTCGATCAAATGAAAAAGTCTGAGTCCGCGTAAAATGCTTTCTCACGAAACTGTCGGATGATATGCGATCAACGAAACGAGAATCATGCGGCGACAAGGATTGCAAATGCGTGATCTGCCGTGAACTAAATAACTGTAAGATGTCAAGTAATATAGAAACTGCAGCACGTCGCGAAGGCGTCAACTTTATTCTGCGCCGTGCGTTGCCCTTTATGACTAAATCGCCTACGAAAGAGTGGCTGAACGTGGGCAACGATATACCGGAGCCAGAGTTCGACGGCTACGAGGATGGTTCCACGATAGAGAAAAAGAATCACGGTTCGGAAGCGGATAACGCGATGACGCAAACGACCAGCGAGAACGTTAGGAAAGCTGACAAGGATGTGGCTCATAAGACCGTGATCTATTTTGGTGACACCAATCAGCGGCAGAACAAATTCAATTCGAATAAAGCCGGGTCTCCTCGGCTAATGAGTAAAGACGAGACCAAGATGCTGGATTCGAAGAAAGAAAACCAGATTGATGGCCCGGAGGACGGACGATTTAGTGGGAAGGGACAGAACGAGAGACAACGGTCGACTGTGAGTCTGATGGAGAACGAGGACGCCACGGTCACGCACGAAATCGTGGTGAACGTTAGTCCCAGCAGGGAGGATGTGCTGAGGATCGAGGAGGACGAGAGCCAGGTCGAGGATTATTGGTCCTTGCCCGGGGACAACAGCGGGTTCAAGGCAGACTGGAGCTTCGTACAGCAATGGCGCCTGAGGGGGTAAATCACGCTAGTCTTACGTTCGTTTACTGTGACGATGAAAAATGACCGTATTACCCGTGGGGCCCCTCGTGTGGAATTCGCGTAACCGGGTGCTGGCTCGTTCTTCGTAGTGCTTAACGGTTTTTGCGGAAAGTTTCAAGAGGGAACTGGATTCGGGAGTTTGATGGTCCACGCGTAATTGGTGCTCCGGGCGTGGTTCATCGCACCGAACGAAGAACATTTGGGCTCGTACAATTTGCAGAATGTCGTATTTATTTATTTATTCATAGTTCATGCCCTTCGGTTTGAAATGACCCTCCGGCTTTACATTTTCCCCTAGAACTAAATCGATATTTTATAATATAACTGAACCTATATTCTACATGTATTACACATTGATCTTTCTCTTTTCATCTTTCGTATTTCTCCCCCTTACGCCGCCTTTCACTCATTTCCTGCTCTCATATTATGTTTAATGTCAATTCACTTACATCGCTAGCTATACCTATAATTACGTCTCTCGCTTTATATTCTTTATATTAATATACTTTTATATTTATACATTTCCTGTCTTCACCTTCCGTCGAATCTTACCGTCTAACTTCATTTCTGCAGCTATTTCCAATCTTTACTTTTCACTCTTTCCTCCAAGTACTTAAATCTTTTCTATTGCTTCGACATTTTATTTCCTTATATTTCCTTACTTCCTCTTTTTCTCTCCATATATCTTCCAATATTTTCTCTATTCCATCCTCTTGTTCGTCATCGGCCAATCACGCCCTTATCTTTCCTGCTTTTTCCAGTATATTTCTTCTTATCGTTTTCCACTTTCTCTACTTGTAGGATATTGTATAAAATATCATCTGAATTCTAAAGGCATCCATAGACATAACAACGTTGTTGCAACTAAATTAAGAACCCTGTACATAAAAATTGATTCCTGATGCAAATGAGCATACAGAAAAAAAATACTTCTATAACAAATTACATGAGGAATATGCAATTATAAGAGCAAATATATACAAAATAATATTCTTCGAACAGGAATTATAAAAGAAGCGCATTCTTTCTTAACAATCACAATCGCTCTTAAGGCGGAAATCATTATAATTATTGTCTCGGTCATTTATCACGTTTTTTGCGCGTTTCATCCGAGGTGCCGGATCCTGTAGAGTAAATTACTCATGTCAGGCATAATTGGGTGAGCCCTATCGTTGAATGAAACGTTTATCAACGACAGCGCCAATCGACTCGATTATCCCTTAATTGCATTAAGGACGCGTTTCCACTGAGCAAAATAATCCATACGTAAGAACGATTTAAGTAAAATGCAGGTGCGTTCGAAGGCGTGCGCATATAGCGATTATTAATTTATATGTAGCGAGTCACGCGATTCGGGCATAACTTCCAGTTTCCAATTCCTTGGAAAAAGTCAGGAAAAAGAAATTGAATGCCGCACTGATATACAGTGTCTGTCATTTAATATTCGCACCCGTTCCAAATCTGAATAACTTCGTTAATATTGGACCAAGCAACTTACTTTCTTTGTGACGTTAGAAGGCTTAGTTTACAGTATAATGTGGGACAACAAATTTAAAAAAAACTGCTGTTTGTCGGAGTCTCGAGGAAGAAGTAAAGAATATGATGTTATTCAATTGATCCACTGGCAATCTTCTATCCGCTGGACTTTTTATCAGAAGGCTAGAATTTAATATTTTTCAACAGGTCTCAATTCCATATACATATGTTAAATAGTAAATGTATATAAGCTTCGATAGGCGTGTGCGTACTTACGCAAAAACCGGTCCCTTTACGATTAATTGCTGACAATGAGCGCGGGAGCAACGCCGTGCCGGTAGATTTTTGAAAGGCCTTAATTTCCAGGCTCTGATATTTATTTTCATGGTCGGTCTTAAAGCTCGCCAAGAAAGTATCCAAGGCTCGCGAACGTCTCGCACAACGAACAATTGCCGAAGACAAAAGGTGGTAAAGATCGAGATCCACGGAATACACGTGGATCACGATCCGTTTCCCCGATACTTATCGATCACGTGAATCTCTCGTTACTTTCGTTACGGCCGACAACGGTTGTTAATTTGCACGCTGGAACTGCATTGGTTCGCGTGCGAGCAGATTTAACTTACGTAACGCTAGCTAGGGCGATCCGAATTAGGAAGAGTAAAAAAAAAACAACACGATAAAATCGCTATTTTCTTCTTTAACATTGAAGAAATTAAATATTCTCATCAATTTCCCAACCAAATTGAAAGCATCCGAATATTCCCCAAAACTTTTTGGTATAGACGACACTGGAAAGATTAGTGGATATTAAAGATCTAATGATAGATACTGTGAAGTCCATAAATATTCAAACATACTTCACAGGTGAAGAACTTTCTTAATATTAGATTTAAAGAATTAATTTTTTGTTAAGTGTTAGAGAGATTGGTTAATAACAATTCATTAGTTCTACATTTTATTTATTAATAATAATGCTGATTGTTTATTAAAAATTAAAAAAATGTTCACAATAATGAAAAATTTTAAATCATGAGTAACAAAACCGATTTGTCCAAAAGACCACAGAGAGAAACGAGAGAAGTTATCACATTTCGTAGCAGAGATATTCTATCCAATATCTCATCTCAGCGATCTCCGATTAAGGAATGGATTACATAGTTTTTTTGTTTCTTAAATTATTACAGTTCAGGAATGTGACTTTCTTGGAAGCTTAGCTATTTCAACGAAACATGAGAAAACAGATATTTTCTTTAGATGCTCGCTTTTCGAGGCACAATGAAAAAAGGAAAGAATCAAATCTGCACTAGCGCAGAGCGGCAGACTTGCCCGATTTATTTGGTGTGCAATTAACGAGAAACTTACCTAACAGGATATCGAATATCGGCTTTATATATCACTTCGGTAACGTGGCCTGTATGTACATTCTATGTACGCGACTAATGTATGTTAATAACGGCCTTCCAATAAAAATTATTTATTTACTTGTTCATATGTGTAATTCAAAATTTGTAATAGTTGACGATACACGCGAATGATATGAAAAAATGATTACACTCATGCTCATTTTTATACAAATTTTTAAACACTTGAAGTTTTTATGACAGGCATTTGATATGAGAAGATATGGACTTGCAGATGTATATTAAAGATCAGAAAAAGTCTTTTTATTCTAATAAAATTTTTTATTCTCTTTAGACCAACCGGTGGCAATGGACGAGATATGTATTGTCCTCCGTACTCGAAAGAATTCACGGAGAGTTCTCCAAAAAACGGTATACACAATATGGTTCACATGGTGGCGGAAAGAGATACGGATAGCGTCGCGCCAACGCCAACTCCTCAGCATCCCCATCATCCTCAACATCATCATATTAGTTTACACGAAATTCGTGCTCTTCAGGTATTTAAAAATTTTATTAATTAGTTATTTATTTTTGTATTTATTTTACATATTACAGTACATATAAAATACTCTCAAATATAAGGTGATATTCAAACTTTCATTCTTATTTTTAAAAACTCAGTCATTATTTAGTGCTAACAATAAGCGATATAACAGAATGCAATCAACAATTCATTCTGCACTATCATTCATTACCTTCTAAAATACACGTATGGCTATAATGTACAAGGGCAAATGTTATAAACTGCGCCTGCCATTCTTCACAGAGGCGACCAGAATGCACGGGCAATAGCTCGTCGGATGAGAATCGGTCGTCCGGACACGCGAGCATGTCGGACACAGGTGGTCACACGAGCAGCAGTTCACCGCCACATCGACATCATAGGGCACACAGTCCACAGCAGCTGAACTCTGTACCGGAGGACGATCGCCTATCGGCCTCCGTTACACAAAGAAATGGCAGGAATAGACCCGGCCAGAATCGGAACAGACACAGAGCTACGCCTGCTAAGGTGTATTTTTTAGGATGATACAATACTCACCCCTTCTATCCGTCAAGCATTTTTTATTGTATATTACCACTAAAGCGATTAATATAAAAAAAAATTAAGAGTGGTACCAAGTATAGCGATTTCTTTTAATTTCCTTATCAAACAACTATATACTGTAGTTACAGGTTCCTTGGTCAGGTTCCGGTTTAGAAGATATCAAATTGGCCATCCAACAGCTCACCATGCGTTCTCATAAATCTTCCTCGACTTACTCCTCCTTGAGCGGTTCCGAGAGCTCAGAACCAGCTGTAAGGAGGCTAATGAGACATTCTAGCTTGGAAACTATCAACACCAACGTAACCAGTGCTGATGAATTCGTCTGGGTGGATTCTCATAATCGATTGGTAGAATTGCAACAATTACCATGGACGCATCATGACGTCCTTCGCGTGTTGCAAAACGGTCGAACAAGGGAACATATGGATCAGGTCTCAATGGAAACGATACCACGACTCTCTTACTTACTGCAACGGGCTCTGGTCAGAATCGGTCGAGAAACACAGAGACTAGCTAAGCCTGTTGGCCTTTGCAGCAAGCACGAAGTCTACAGTGCATTCAAAATTGTTCTCTGTCCGGCCTTAGCTGATTCGTGCACCAAGGTACGCGAAATGGGAACAAAATTTAAAGAGAAGGGGGTTTGTCCTTGGAAAAAATTAATCTTCACGCAAATTTTTTTGAACTGTATATTTAATCTTATTCATTAAATTTTATATACTGTTATTCTGTACATGTCTTGCTTTCAGTGGGAATTAGCTAGAAGGTAATGTTAAAATCAGAGAAAAGTAATAATATACTCAATATCAATGAGTACGTTTTGTCAGTAAAGTGTGTGAGAGACAATATATTAAAGTCCTCACCGTCTGTAGAATCGATAAGCGTGCGCTTAGAATTTATTGCGCATTGATAATGATTTAATACAAACATTCATCTCTCAACGAATCTTCCTATTACAGGCATGCTTGCGAGCTGCAGCGATGTTCGCTGTATCTGGCGATCAGTTGAAGCAATCGAAAGCATCTCGGTCCGGGCTACAACTACCGGTGGGACGATTTCTTCGTTGGATGTCTGATGTACGACTAGGAAGAATGATACACGAGTACGCAGCCATATACTTGACCGCTGGAATCGAAAATCTGTTGGAAGAAATATTATTACAGTGCATACCGACTGATCCCCATACTACGTTGACCGCGACCATGTTGGAGCATGCCATTGCGAATAGCGGAGATTTATGGGGTCTCCTTCAACCGTACGCGCATCTGAATGCTGGTCGTACGGCATCAGGTAGAATTACTTTGTGTCAAGAATAAATACGATAAATTTAGGAGGTAACCAGTACATTACGGTGTTCCGAAAGATAACTTTCGTTTATGGGCGACGACTTTCATCATTTAATTTTCGTGATTTATTATATGAAGACAATTATATCGAGTCCTGCTGTCATGCTGCAATCATTCTCATTTTATGACTGTCTCTTTATCCTACTCTACCTTAGGTAGTACCACTTAATTCCTTTATTCTTTGAAAATATTTTAATTTATGATTAATCCTTATTCTATTGAAGATGTCAGGAAGAAATTCTAATAAATCCTTTTAACTTCTGTGAAGCATTTCTTGCTTTGAGACAAATTAAATAAGTAAACTCAGTATATATGTAGGTGGTATCGTAAACTTTAATTTATTGTAAATATTACTTAAAAAACTTAACATTCTTTCCGCGCCTTTTTCTATTTTTCTTAGTAAAATATTATTTATGTTCTCTTACTAATCGTTATTTATATTTTGTTATAAAATATGAAGGTGCTCTTGCCATGCCACGCTGGGCTAGCATCAGTTCCCTAAATTCCTCTTCGTCATCTCGCAGCGGAAGAGACGCTGTAGGATCCGCGTTAGAACCATCTCTTCTAACCACCTGCGTGGGATCAATGTCAGAATTGATTGACCTGATCTCGAAAGTAACTCAAGCAGGACGTGCACCAATATCGTTGACGACAAAGGCACTAAACGCGCTTTTCTATTATATGAGGTGTTCGCAGGTATGTTCGTTCTTTTCTTTATCTACATTTAGTTTCATTCCTGAAATCTGAAATAACGGAGTGAGGTTTATGTAGTTGGAGCACGGTGAAAGAGGTTCCGGGATACAAGAGCTCGCATATGAACGAGCGTACGTCGTACTTCCTCCATTAATCGAATGGCTAAGAGTTGCGACCGCACATGCAGAGCATAGGCACGGACTGGTCGTAGATCAAGATGACATTAATCAAGCAGCGAGATTGTTATTGCCTGGTGTAGACTGCCCAATCAGACCGATATGGTAATATAAGTTACGATTTATCTATTATTTTTGGCCAGATTAGTACGGAAGTGATCACTTAATTGTAATAAGTGAAACATTGAATTTCCTGTACAGTTTTGAGGAAGTTTCTGTATGTTCAAAACGTATAGACGATTCCGAATATGTTCGTTTTCTAACAATGGACATGGCATTCAAGATGTTAACGAGTGGTCGCGCTGACCTTATAGCTCAAGCCATGCCTCTTTTGCCATCAACAAAAATCAACACTGTGAACGATAACGGTTTCACCGCTTTAATGATCGCGTGTATCAACGGAGATGAAACCGCTGCCCTAGCGTTATTAGATGCTGGCGCTGATTTAAATGTCGAGAGTCCACCTCCAGCCTCTGGACAATCAGGAAGTACACCTTCTAAGATTCCAGCGACACCAAGTGGATCGAACGTTAGAAGTCCAATCGTACTCCCCGCAGTAATGACTCCAGGAAAAAGCGCACAATCTCTGAGTTCATCTTCCAGTTCACCGAGCGCATCGAGCAATGTTTCTAATAACACTTGTTACATTCAAAATGGATTTAATGCGGAAACGCAACACTGGACTGCTTTAACATACACGGCCTTGTTAGGACATTGTAATATCGCTAGAATATTATTGGAAAGAGGGGCAGCGGTGGAAGGTGGTGCCAAATTGAGCGAAGACAAATCTACTGTTACACCTCTACAAGCAGCTACTGCGTCTGGCAATAATGAAATGGTAGCGTTACTTTTAGCTCATGGAGCTCAACCATTTTTATCGACTTTGATAAAGGACTCGTTTTCATATTCTGGCTCTGCTCAACGGGGCTGCTACAGGCAAGTAAAACGCATCATTTCATTTCTAATTTCTAATTAATTAATTTGTGACTTTCTTAATCTATAGTGCAATATCAGTGGCTACAGCTCATGGTCAAAGGAGTTGTCTTCATCAATTATTATCCCATCCATTAAACTTCTCTGCTAAGCGAGGTGAAAAAGAAGTATTGTCACTGGAAGAAATTCTTGCAGAAGGTAGTGCAGGTACTAGCTTGCAACAACAAACTGTTGATGGAAGAGGAAATAGAAGAGAAGGGAAGGAGCCAGTATTTAATAAGCTTCAGACTAAAGCTTTGCAAGAAGCCATGTATCATAGTGCCGAAAGCAATCACTTAGGTGATAGTATTTTTTAAAAATCAACATGAATACATGTCTCTAAATCCTAGTTAAAATTCCACGAGGATTCTATTTCGACTTCCTTCACAGATATCACAATGGAATTACGTGGATTAAAAGTGGGATGGACGTTGCATTGTTGGATGCACAGCCTCGCAACAGCTCATGAAATGAGATTGGATTCAGTGATAGATCAACTGCTTCAAGATTTTCTTCAAGTGTGTCCCGATGACTATTCCACCCAATTCGTACAAGAGTGTCTCCCTTTGTTGTTCAATATTTTTAGGTATAGCAAAGTAAGTCATCTTCAGATATATAATTATATAATTTGAATAAAAGTAATTTTTTTGATATCGTTCATATAATGTTTACAGAAAGAAGGCACGACGCTTCTTCTCGCTGACATCTTCTGCACGTGTTATGGATGGGAACCCATAAAACCCATTAGAGACACTACACTTTCCAGCGGATCAAGAATAGATCCCAAGTTTGTAAATAATCCAGAGCTGAGTGATGTACAATTCAGAGTGGAAGGTAGAGTTTTTTACGGCCATAAGATTGTCTTGGTTACATCGTCGCCAAGGTTTAGAAACATGTTGAGCTCGAAATTGTGCGAGGGAAACCCACCGATTGTACAAATTAATGATATTCGATATCACATTTTTCAGGTACGTACGAGTAAAAAATAATGTCTACCATGTATGTATAAAAATTACTCATTTAAAACTTGGATCGAATTTCATTTGCAGATGGTTATGGAATTTTTATATCACGGTGGTTGTGCTACATTAGAAGTTAATCAAAGTGACGTTTTGGAATTAATGGCTGCTGCAAATTTTTTTCAATTAGACGGCTTGCTTAGGTATTGTGAAGCACAATGTTCTTCGATGATCGATCTCGACAATATCGTTTCTATGTACATTCACGCAAAGGTATATCTTCTTTAAATGTTCAAGCCTCCAAGATCTCAACTTTCCGAAATTTTCGATTTTCAAACATCTACAGTTTATGAATTGTGTACATAATTTTCAGGTTTATAATGCGATGCAGCTTTTAGAGTACTGTCAAGGATTTTTACTACAAAATATGGTCGCTCTATTAACTTACGATGATTCGGTTAAACGTTTATTGTTCGCCAAGAAATTGCCTAATCACGATGTTCTAGCAGGCCTCCTTCTCACTTTGCAAGCGAGAATAAAAGCTAGACGATCTCAGCAACAAAATAAAGTAAAAACTTAGATATGATAAGGATTAACTAATGTGTCATTGTTATTATTTTATTTGTTGGTTTCATCAATTGTCGTAATCTGTCAACGTATTTCTTTACGTTTAATTGACGTCATTTATAAAGAAAAAAGTGATACGTAAATGAATCAAGACTGAGTGCTTTATAACTTATCAACATTTATACATTCAGTTAAAAGTACGATTATAGACAGAACAGAGTAGACCGAACGTCCAATATATTTTTGTTGATACCGTGAAACATAGAAAAAAAACATGCTTTAGATTTAAATGCATTTTTGTCTCTCCTTCATATGCCGATAGATAAAAAAGAAACTCTCCCAATCATTTTTTTTTCTCAATCACATAGTTTAAAATCTCTCATTTAGGAGCTCGGCGCTCGTTCTACTTCCACATGTCTATGGGTACAATATGGTAATAGTACGAAAAAATTATGCTTCTATTATGTATCTCTTTTATTCTTGTTGTATAATATCTCTTATTTGAGTATTTTTTATAAATATAAATATGCACTAGATATTCTTTGAGTAATCATCAATCTTATACGTGCATGTTAAAAAATTTCAAAAATAAAATTATCAGAATTAAGTAAAAAATTATGTAAATATAAAATTGATTATTATTTAACGTAGAACGTAGCATGAGCAATTAGCTGTTAGTAATAATAAACCAATAATGTATAACGAATGAACATACAATTTGTATATAAAACAGGTTGAGCGATTAATACGTGATTAGCGCAAAATATATAAACTTAATCTCCCATACGGATCATGCAGTATAATTTGTACATCACGATGATAATAAATTATAAATATTGTGATAAAATGGGAAATATTAAATGATAATTGTTTTATTTCTTGAAGCTTAATAAAGGTAATTTATATTTTTTATCACACTCCTGTTTGCATGTTATTACTGAACTTCGTAGCTCTTAGCGCAATCATACTGCCAGCAAATGATTAAAAACAGAACAGAAGACAAAAGAATTCGTGCATTATCATTTAATATAATTTAATGATTACTTCAAACTGTTTGCGTCTAATTAGTTCATTTCTAACACATGGAATGATGCCTTATAGTAACCGTTGAATTCATCTCAATGAACGTAATCGTATTTTGGATTAATAAAACATGCAGAGTTTTATTTAAAGAAATTAATGTAACTTCGAGATCCCCCCACTACTTTATTAATTTGAAAGATGATTGTCTCAAATAAAGTGCCCCTTTATAATAAACAACTTTCATTAAAACATATTTTTGATAATTTCCATCCCGTATGAGATATTTTACTGTTCTCACTTAAACGGACCACCCTATATATATACGCAAATAATATATTGCTTTGTTTTTCAATAAAATAAACTACGTGTTGTTTTATTTAAAAGCAGCGTAATATATTACGAAAGAAAGATAATCGCTTAACACCTACTACATTGTAGCATATAGCTCATCGTTGTCATAACAAAATGTTGCCATCAAGTGTGTACACGACGTAACAATTGTTAATATCATATATAATGCAATTTATTTTAAATGTCAATGCTTAGTTGTATATACAATATTCAAGTTATAATCTTAATGATAATGTAATCACTGGACTTTTAGATTTTGGAATGCCTAATAATCATATAAGAGTCGAACCGATTCACAGAAAACGGCTGTCTCAATCTTATATGTATATCTTTTATTTTCGTTTCTAACTCTTCAAGCTTCAGTAGACTTACAAGCAATCGAGCACAATAAGAGGCATTATGACCTTACTAAAAAATGATTATAAAAATGATATATTAACAATGTATACAGTTTAATTAAGCTTAGATTCTGAACATAAGTCGTTTTGTCATTCGGCTAATATTCGTAACTGTTTCGTATTTCGATAAATTATTACGACTATTACCTAATAGAAAAGTTGCAACAATATAATTTTAGTCTCTCACAATAATGTGAGCACAAAGGTAATTGTTAACAAATCTGTTGTCCCCTACACATTAGACATCTTATTCTGTAAATATTTTCTTAGTACCTGTGAAAGTGAAGCTTGAATCGCATATAACAAGTGGGAATTACTGTTTTTAACATCATAAACTTCACAGTGTTTTAAGCGATTAATTTATAAAAAGAACGCTGCGTTATGCATTGTACTGAAGTGAAATAAAGAATAATTTATAATGATAAAAATTTACATAAGGCGGTACATGTCTCATGTCTGATTATTTTTTTGTGGTTTCTATTTAGTAAGAGAAAACAAATTTTCTTCAAGAGTTTGATTAACAGAGACTGAACAGAAACTATAATACATTAATATAAGCAATAAAAGATTATATTCAGGTAAGAAGCAGATTATAGACTACATAAACTAATCAGACATTGAAAATTCGTCAACTTATAGTGCCACATTATTTATTTTATGTCGTACTAAATTTAGTGCATGTGTCGGTTCATCATTTTCTAAAATCAAGTTTTTAAATATTGGATAACGTATTCCTTGATAAATAAATTATAACTGTCTTTCCTATTTACAGTATACAAATATTTTATAATAATAAGTATTCGAAATAATATAGAGTTTGATGTGTAACACATAACTGCATTTTCAACAAATAATATATACATATGTCGTCATAAAATTGGGAACTAGAACATAACATTAACATCTTTGTTAAACACTTCTGACATTTATAGTGTTGTATAAATTATTGAGAAAACAAGTAAAATGATTGAATTAGATAACTGCTTCCAGATAGAGCAAAAATTATAAATCACATTGCAGTATTTGAAATTATACTCTACTCAGAGAAAACTGTTCTGCTATGAAAATTTTCAAGTCACGCATCTAACATTTTTGTTCAAGTCTGAATTATTATTCAATTCAAGCTGCAATAAAACGCAAGTAACAATAGATTTCTGCAGTGAGTATAGCGTACAACGTTTTACTGGATCAGTACAGGAAAATAATATACTCGAATTATGTATTAAATTTACACACGGATATAAAATAAGTCTATCCTCTCCCCATATCGCATAGAAACTGACGATTTAGGTATATCTTCCCTTGGTATTAATTTTGTGATCAATAAAATAGATTGAGACAACCTTTTCCACTATCGCATTATCTACGACGATCAAGAGCGCTAACTTAATTTAGTGACTAGGACAATAATTAATATAACAACTACTATGATAGCGAGCAACAGTAAGATAAAAACTTTTCGACGGTATTTACTTTGGTAATTACTTCCCTTGATCAATTCTTGCGCTCCTAACTCAACGTTTCCATGTACGTTTTCTATATGGCTGTCTATTGTGTCTGGAACAAAAACGAATATAAGAGTCCATGTAACAATGATTTAACTTGGAAGGATACGGAACTCAGAGCTGTGGAGTTGGAGTTTGGAAGCAATTTTTAACGGCTAGAATTGGAGTCGTGAATTTTGATTTTAATTACTTACTTAACGTGTCGCCTTGCTGGTAGACCACTGCCGCGAGTTCTCGCATTATCTGATTCACATCCAAAATATCGCCTTCAATACATTTTACTATATCTTCTCTCTCCAACAATAAGTCTTGTCGAAATTCTAGATTCCTAAATGTAACAAAGAGCAGATCATTTTTTAAATACTTTTCCACACATTTAATGACATCACTTAATGAGCTTGAGTTGATATGCATATAATGAAACGAACTTACCACATGCTCAAGTGCATTTTATAGCTTCTCTACATTAATAATACATATTGCAATTATTTTTCAAATAAATTTTATGTTTAAAGTATGTCAATCAATATTTATGCTATAAAATCCACATTATGCACAAAAAAAGGCTATTGAATTTTGATTTGCTAATAACATTAACAGTCAACCATCTGTGTATCCATTGCTTGTGTGCAGACTGTGAGAAATAGTCAAGCCTTTTTTGTTACTTGCTCATACAAATACTTATATACATTTCGAGAAAAATAGAAAAGATTCTCAAACCTCTGGGTCGCTTTGTGTTCTTGCTCTTGAGCTTGAAATAAACGTTGTTCTTCCTCATCTTCTGGATCCATGGAAATTTCTACATTAATTGTAGGCAAAATATGTCTCTTCATCTTTTCAGCAATTGACTACGAGTGCCATAATAAGACAATTAGAAATAGAAAAAATATTAGATTAATAAACATAACAGATTATTTTTATCTTACCTTCTGCATATCTGAATATCTTCCCAAAGCATCTCTGAAGTCAACAGTGAGTTTCTCAATTTGCAATTTCTGCTGTTTATCTCCTTTCCTCATTAACACCGTCAGTCTTGCAATGTCTTTGCTTGTTTGGGTCACTACTTGATTTGTGCTTAAATTTGTTATGTGCCTTGAAAAAGAAATAAATATACATACACAATGTACGATATAAGGAATCATATGAACGTAATGTAAAGCAATGTATATCATTTTTCTCTCAATACACTATTCAATGTACTTACACCTTATCTCTTACACCCTGATTATCTTTATTGGTTCCAATATTTTTATATGCACGTTCAAGTGATCTCCAACTTATGTTAATCGTATATATATTAGTGCTAATATTTTCACAGAGACTATAAAGTTCAGTAGGACTAAATCCCACATCAGGTACATCTGTCCGTTGATCTGTGGACCCATATGTTTGAGAACTATGAGCCATTCTAGAAAGCCAAATACCATTTTTATTAAAATTTGTATCGTACAAAGGAAATTAAGGACATTTACAAATGTCAAGAACAATAGAAAACTATAGTTATAATTTCACATATAGTAATATTTTCCTGTGTGATCATATGTTAATAAGCCTATATAAAGTTAATGACATAGTTATGAGTAATACTGATATGTTATCATACTATGAATCATACTATGATTATTAAAATCATAATAGTATAAATATCTCTGATTGGAATTTGTATATAAAACATCATCTACATAATCGAATATAATAATACTATACTTTTCCTATTTTGCTTTAAAAATGTAAATGGAATTGAAGAACTTAGCCAACAAAGAGTTACGATTTCAGTTTGAAATACTGTTAAATATATGTACTACATATAGAATTTAATGAATTTTAATAAAATTGTATATCGTACATTATGCATAGACTTCTACGTTGCCTACTAATAATTATATTATTAATAAACGTAAAATTATCCCTTGACGAGATCTAGTACAGATATCATTAATTTCTTCGAAATCATCATGAAGATAATACATCATAATTAAGGGAAGTACTGCGCAGTGTTACAGAAATTATATAAAGGATGAAATTCTTATTCTGTATTAAAATCTTTGTATTCAGTTAGATGCAACTGGACAGTATCCCGATCTAATGGTGTACGACAAATATGCATACGAAAAAGTTAAATTGTGGAAAAATGAAAGTGTTCCAATAAATATAAGTATGAAAATTTATACAACAAACCTGAATTGTTTTATCACAAATGTTCTTAATATCTAAATACAAATTGCTTTATGAATTCACATTTAAAAATCAAGAAAACTATTTTTATGAATCTTAGAATGATCTTAGAAACTGACAGTTGCCTAAACGAGCTAATACACCGCCCATGTGACAATAGTCTCTTTGTGCTCGCAACCGTGTGTTCGTCAGATACCTATGTTGCCGACATTCAAAATTTTTTAAGTTCAGATTTGTTATTTATAAATAAGCTTTTGCATTACAATATAACAACGATATATTCATTCTCAAGTAATAAATTTCCAGTAATAGAACATACATTTTGCCAATTTTAAACCAGTTTATAGATATAAGAATAATTTCACATAATCTATCATGTCTATATTCCCGTCAGTACTACAGAGTTCAAAGTAGCAAACAACAAACATAGTTATACTTCTCTTTTTATGTAAAAGAGAAAACGTATAATCATAGAAATAGATGCAATTTTTTTTATTGAAAAATCATTATGCAAATTAGACCGCATATTGGTTAATTATGAATTTGAGATTATTTTTTAGGAACTCAAAGAAATGTGTCTGAAATACCGTTTTATATACTGTTACCGCCGGAATCAAAAATAAAACTAATAATAAATTAATAATTTAAAACGTTTGTATGCATTTACAAGGGTAAAAGTAAGAAAAATTAGTAATAAATTTTTCTAATGAACAATTGAAATCATTAATAAGCTACCTTCCTGTGGAACCAGAGGTTAGTCGCATGGCGGACACTGGCTTGACAAGACGTACAGTACGGAAGTTCCCGAGTACGACCGACAGATTGCGAAAGCCTTCAGAAACAACAACCGTCGGCCGTAAGTAAACGCTATTGTGATTTTTCATCATTTTACACGCTAAAATTGTACAATATCAGTTGTGTGATTGCCATAATAACGAATTTAACGCTGGATTACCACGTCGCGTATATTACTTTGCTCAAAGTCCTACTGAAAATCCTTAAATTTGATAGAATTTTCTCGAGGGTAGCTTTGGAGTCAATGCAGCACGTACATAGGCCGTGCGTCATGTCGGTTCCGAACGCATCTTCCGCTTGTCGGCTCCCCATCACGTTTTGCCGTCTCCCTTGAATATAACCGCAACTTTTTCGCTTAGTCGATCAACTTTCGTTTCGATAGCAGAAAAAATGAACGATATACGGGTGGTAATCGAGTGTTGTTCATAAGCACCTACGCAACTCCCACTTTTGACATTTTAAATAAGTGTGGCTTTTGATGTAGGCTGATTCTATGGCTTCTCGCATGTTTCTTTTACGGTTTTGTGTATTTCATATTTTGATTAGCAAGAATTCTTTCTCCCAATAATGTGAAACGTAACGCAACATTTTTCGACGTTTATGGTGGATCCCCTCTCCCGTTTCGCGTTGCCAAGCTTCCTTCCGAAAAATTCCGAAATTAGTACGATGCTTCGTTTTCAGTTGCTGGTCGCTTTCTCTACAGCTTTAAAATTAAATCTGTTTCTTCTATAAGTTGTTATACATACTGCTTACGTCAAACATTTTCTTAGTCATCTCCAAGAAATCGCTTTCGCGCCTTTGTCTACTTTCGATTTTTCCAGAATTTCATTCGGCGTTTATCGATACATTCCAAAATACATTCTATTTCGACTCGAGAGATATACTCCGCGAAACATTTATTTTGTGGCGGATGCTCGACAGACTCCTATAAACATATGTATGCACGAGCTACATTTACGCGTTCATCGATCAATGTGCACGCACACGCATCGGTGTGCATGAAACTAAGCAGGCGTGTACTGTCACGTTTCTGACGTTTCGCTAGAATTTTCATCTGCTTTAAATAATGTTTTACTTCTAAGAAAAGCATCAAACTCTAACCGTATTACGTTTATCATATTTAGAATTTAATTCAATTTATTTCAGAACTCGTATGCTTCTCATATTATTATTCCGTAACGAAATCGAACAAAGAAACTGGCGAATAGCTTCAGAATAATGGCATTTTGCATCTGCAGCATATCTGTAACTTCATTTGAATAAGAATCGGGTTTCTGCTTAGTACGAGTAAACAAGGCATTTCTACTAATTAATCATAACGTGTTTTATTCCGTTAATATGATACACAATCTGTTTATTTAATTAAGCAAAGAACTTTCATATAGACATAAAATAATTTTCATCAGTTTCTACAATGTGCTATTTAACGATCGAAGTTTAACGATTACAACCTCGAAGTATTTAATACTTGGGATACAATGTGCTACAACACGCGCACCCGTGGCGAGCACATTTGCCCGTGAGCCTTTAAATGCTCGCCCATATGACTGTTCCTACGTCGAACGTGTGACGGTCGTATGTGGCCTCTTTGTTACAGGAGACTTAAACGCTTATCGTACTATGAATAGACGCACTGATTTCCTTTCAGCTGTGTCCACTTTGTAGCTAATTTGCACCTCGCTACGTAACTGTGACACCATCAGATACATAGCTACTCACCTAGAAATTTGTGGTAAATTAATTCGATGCTTTTACATATATATCTGTTTACTTGCAGATTTCAATTATGTGTTGTTCGTGCCTTGGTAAACTACTATGAGTTGACAGTAATGGAGATCATTGCATAATGTCAAAAAATCTATATATTGTTGTGACACGTGTAAAAATTCGGGAGACAAAGAGCAGTGTTCTATCTATAGCAACGATTTTCTCTCGCCATTATATGTTATAGTTTCCTTCATTCAGCTTATAGTTTGATGCTTGTAACGAGTGATCTGCTAGCTATCACTTTCTTTTTGTATATTATTGTAGAGAAGTTAATATTTTTTATGAACTACATTCAATTTCCCGAATTAATGAATCAATTGATTCGGGTTAGATGTATTTCACTTTCTTTTTTCTATAATCTCTGCCGAATTAGTACGTTTCACGGCCTTCAAAAGTTGGCAGCCTTGTTCTAACTCGCAAAGAGCAACCGTCACAGCGCATCAGTGACGTGTCACGAGAAAGAGCAGTGGTGTTCCAAGAAAATAAAGAAGGATAGCGATTGTTCAATATACGTCACTTCGTCGTTCTTGATATCTGTTTATCAATCGCACACGTCTCCATTGCATCAACATATTGCAATTTTTTTCAAGAACTAATCTTATGTTACGTCACACGTATTCGAAAGTTTTGTTTATTTCTTTTCTTTTTCTTTCATATATTTACTTGCTTTATTTACATTACATTTACAAAAGTGATTAGTCATTTTTAAAGACACACACCAAGTTCAGTTCTTTTAAAAACTTTTGTATTGGTAATATAACTCTGAAAATAATATAATTGTAAAAGTGATAGAATTTAGTCGAAGTAATGAAATAATGTATTTAAAAACGTTATTATGTCTGTTACTTCTGCTTAAAAATTTACAAAATTGTTGCAACTGTTCTCGGGTAATCTAAAGCTTCCCGTGTCACGATCTCGACATTTCATGACTGTTAAAACAATTGAATTCATTATTTTTTATAACATAAAAAGAATTGCTAATAGCTATGTTGCAGAACAAATAAAATAGCGACTGTTATATAATTACAACATCGTGTGTCCTACGTTATTGATATCTTCGTCAGATGTTTTAAATATTAGGTTGGTAAATGGTAATTGAACTATATAGTCCAAGTAGTTGCCTTCGCAAAACCTTCTCAGACAATACAGACAGTATGAATTTAAAAGGAGACGAGATGGCAAATACGGATTTAGCACCTATACTAAAGACATTTTCAATGTCGATGCGTGTTCAGACAATGACCTTCAGTGTGCAACCTTAAAGTAATGCTTCTTAAGTCACTCTGAATGTGTATGGTATACACACACATATATACTTTAGGCGTATTTGCGTCGTATTAAACTAAATGCATATAGTACGTATATAAGATTAAAGCAGTACACGTAGTAATGGAAATTACGGGTGTAAATTATCATAATATGTACACTCATAAATTATTCCGTTAATTACACAAATGCACGAATGCAAATTTGTATATCTACATGCATTCATTTGGTGAGAATTTTGTAGATCCTCTTAATCTTTAATAACTTCCCATTATCCTCTTTCCCCGTCGCTAAAAAAAGACAAGCTCTTCTCTTAAATGTATTGTAAAGAAATTGCTACGTTTAACAAAACAGTAACATTTTCGAAAGGCGTGTGCATAGCTTCGATGCCTTTTTGTTCTTGAGATAAATCTTTCTTTCCTCTCCACCATATAGTATATGAAGATTTTGCAGCTGTGCGCACCCTAAATACATGGAACGCTCAGTAGAAGCGGTCAACGACGACCTTAGTCGAACACAGGACGAAGTTGTCCGACCTCGCCCGATCAGGCTGACGATAGAAGCCGAGATCGGTCGAGGTGAGACGACGATAGGTTCATTGACCGTCTGACCATGAGCCGCGCCCCACATACGATCCTCTCCACGTTCATCGTCCACGGGTTTTGGTTGTTTTGTTCGTAACCGATACCTCAAGATCAAAGCCGTTTCCCTGGAGAAGGTCCTCGTCCTGCCCATTGAACACCTTCACCTGTGAGCGCAATAAAGGCTGCGCACGTTAATCCGTGCTTCCTGCCATTACAAGTCCATCTATCATAAGACTGCAATGCAACTCTGATTTTTCTTCATTGTTATATAATATGCGAGGAACAATTTATTTTTGTACATTTGTACACTTCTTTACTTTTATAT